TATGAGGCACTGCATTTGATCCTCAGCACCACATAAAAAATAAATAAATAAAATGAAAGTATTATGTCCATTTACAACTAAAAATTATGTGCTAAAATTAGGTATAACTTTTAGTTATGTACTAATAGAGCAAAGGAAGTGGGTGTTAACCTCTTCCTGCTTTTTTTTTTTTTTGTTACTAGTTGAAGTGGTCTAAGATTGAAGCTGTTTTACATAAGAGATATTTTCTTCTTTCCTGCATGAAGTGGGATGAGTTAGTAGTGTCCATTAGGACCAGTTTGTTGCACTCCTGGGCTACCACTTCTGCAGCTTTATTTAAGGGATGTTCTAGCTGCTGGCACTGAGATCTAGTTGGCCTCAGGTCTAATTAGGTTTTGTTGCACCTGGCTTTCTTTGAAGAAACTAGATTGACCTACTCTTAGGCTACACAGCAGACAATTTCTTCAATGGATCTGGTTCTCAGAAGCCTCCCAAGAAATCTAATTGTGGTTCATGGGGGATGATTCTACAATCACTGGAGCCCCAGAGCATAGCCTTTCTGGATTTAGGCCTTGACTGCATTCCCCCTCAACCACTCATATTGTTGGCCCCTTTCAGATGGTCTTTGAGCTGCCAAACACAAAGGAGAAATGAATAGAACTCCCCTTTCCCCTTCCAACGGAGCATGATTTTTAAGCATCTAGTGCAGTCTCTGGATCACATGAGTTTAGTCAGTGTTTCTGATGTGAGATTTCTCTGAATCAAGATACTCCAAAGATGCAGCTTGCAATGCAAGCTCCTTTACTCCCCCTTGTAAGTCAACAAGTCTGTGCCAAATCCACTTCTGGCAGCCATTGGTTATGGGCTATGGCACTTTCTTTCTTCAGTTTTTTTGTACTCAAATTTTGAAATCCCTAAGTCTCTTTCAATGTCCAATATTTAATTTTGGTGAAATTTCTCCTTCACCTACCTAGGCTGAGAAGCTGAATACCCACTTATTTGGTCTTTTCTTAAAATTTTTTATTGTTGGTTGTTCAAAACATTACATAGTTCTTGATATATCATATTTCACACTTTGATTCAGGTGGGTTATGAACTCCCATTTTTACCCCATATACAGATTGCAGAATCACATCAGTTACACATCCATTGATTTACATATTGCCATACTAGTGTCTGTTGTTTTCTGCTGCCTTTCCTATCCTCTACTATCCCCCTCCCCTCCCCTCCCCTCCCCTCTTCTCTCTCTGCCCCCTCTACTGTCATTCATTTGTCCCCCTTGTATTATTTTTCCCTTTCCCCTCACTTCCTCTTGTATGTACTTTTGTATAACCCTGAGGGTCTCCTTCCATTTCCATGCAATTTCCCATCTCTCTCCCTTTCCCTCCCACCTCTCATCCCTGTTTAATGTTAATCTTCTTCTCATGCTCTTCGACCCTACTCTGTTCTTAGCTACTCTCCTTATATCAAAGAAGACATTTGGCATTTGTTTTTTAGGGATTGGCTAGCTTCACTTAGCATAATCTGCTCTAATGCCATCCATTTCCCTGCAAATTCTATGATTTTGTCATTTTTTAATGCAGAGTAATACTCCATTGTGTATAAATGCCACATTTTTTTATCCATTCGTCTATTGAAGGGCATCTAGGTTGGTTCCACAGTCTTGCTATTGTGAATTGTGCTGCTATGAACATGGATGTAGCAGTGTCCCTGTAGCATGCTCTTTTTAGGTCTTTAGGGAATAGACTGAGAAGGGGAATAGCTGGGTCAAATGGTGGCTCCATTCCCAGCTTTCCAAGAAATCTCCATACTGCTTTCCAAATTGGCCACACCAATTTCCAGTCCCACCAGCAATGTACAAGTGTACCCTTTTCTCCACATCCTCGCCAGCACTTGTTGTTGTTTGACTTCCTAATTGCTGCCAATCTTACTGGAGTGAGATGGTATCTTAGGGTGGTTTTGATTTGCATTTCACTGACTGCTAGAGATGGTGAGCATTTTTTCATGTACTTGTTGATTGTATGTCCTCCTCTGAGAAGTGTGTGTTCAGGTCCTTGGCCCATTTGTTGATTGGGTTGTTTGTTATTTTATTGTCTAATTTTTTGAGTTCTTTGTATACTCTGGATATTAGGGCTCTATCTGAAGTGTGAGGAGTAAAGATTTGTTCCCAGGATGTAGGCTCCCTATTTACTTCTCTTATTGTTTCTTTTGCTGAGAAAAAAAATTTTTAGTTTGAGTACCAAAACAGGCAGGTGGACCAATGGTACACAATAGAGGACACAGAAACCAATCCACAAAACTACAACTATCTTATATTTGATAAAGGGGCTAAAAGCATGCAATGGAGGAAGGATAGCATCTTCAACAAATGGTGCTGGGAAAACTGGAAATCCATATGCAACAAAATGAAAATGAATCCCTTTCTCTCGCCATGCACAAAAGTTAATTCAAAATGGATCAAGGAGCTTGATATCAAATCAGAGACATGCTGTCTGATAGAAGAAAAAGTTGGCTACGATCTACAGTCGGTGGGGTCGGGCTCCAAATTCCTCAATAGGACACCCATAGCACAAAAGTTAATAACTAGAATCAACAAATGGGGCTTACTCAAACTAAAAAGTTATTTGGTCTTTTAACACAGAACAGCTTGGAACGCAGCTTCCTTTATTCTGCTGTCTTCCAGTTCTCATAAATTAGAATTTTAAACACATTTTCTTATGTATACTATAAAAATCATATTCCTATTGGAATTTTTTAAGCCTGTTTAGGTTACACATTGTTATAAATTTAAAAATAAAACAATTATTCACACTGCAAGCAATACCATCTCTTTCTCTTCAGTTTTGTCCCTTAAAAATGCAATTGGTTTAGTGTCTTTCATTATGCAAAAAACAGTTCATCGATATAGATCACTATGAAGCTCATCAATATGCAAAATTTCTGAGTTACATTTTCCTCAATTTATAAATTGTTGTAAGTAGCAACTAAAATGGCATAAGAGTAAAAGAATATTGAAAACCAGATGTTCATTAGGGTCCCAGAATTACCATTAAAACTGAGGATATATGTTATGATCTTATTTTTATTATATTGTAATAGTTATACATAGAAGTTGAATACATAGTAGTATATATAGTCATTGTTATACTTAGTAGTTTTGTCGGGTTTATCCCAACAAAATTATACATGCATGGAATTTGATTTCAGTTCAAGATTCAATTCCTTTCCTGACCCTCTCTCCCTCTGTCCTTCCTGTCCTCCATTGTTCTCTTTCCTCTACTCTGATAGACATATGCTCCCTTCTCTATTTAGTTTTGATTGGTTCTTTTTACTTAAACAGAAAGATGAAATTTCCTGTGGTATATTTATATATGCACATAACATAATTTTTGAAGAATTCATTATTTGTTGATTCTCCTTTGTTATCCTTCTACTTGGCACCTCAATCTTCTCCTACTACACTACTGATCTTCCCTGTATCTTTTTGATATCCTATCCTTCCTTCCTCCTTTTCTTCATTTTACCCTAGCTTCCACATATTAGAGAATACATTCAACCCTTGAGTTTCTGAGTTTGACTTTTTTCACTTCTCCATTTCCACCCACTAACTAGCAAATTCCATAATTTAATTATTCTTTATGGGTGAGTAGAATGACATTGTGTATACATACAACAATTTCTTAATCTTTTCATCCATCAGTGGGCATCTGGGTTGATTTTACAACATAGTCATTAAGAATTGGACTACTATAAACTTGAAGTAGCTATATCACTATAGTATGCTGATTTTATTTAGTTCTTTTACAAAAATAACCAGGAGTGAAATTTCTTGGTTCTATTGTGGTTTGATCCCAAGATTTTTTAGGAATATTCAAACTGCTTTGCAGAGTGAACATACTAGTCTTCAGTGTTTCCAACAATGTACAAATGTTCCTTTATCCACACAACCTTGCCAGCATTTATTGTTGTTTGTATTCTTGCTCATTACCATTCCAAATGGAGTGATATTATCCCTTATTGTAGCATTTCTATGATTGCTAGAGATGTTGAACATTTGTTTATATATTTGTTGTTCATTCATTTTCTTCTTTTGAAAAATGTCTCCTCAGTTCATTTGCCCATTTATTGGAATAGGTTGTTTGGGGGGTATAATGTTGTGTGTGTTATATATTCTGGATGTTAACCCCCTATTGGTTGAGTAGCTGACAGACTTTCACTGATTCCCAGGGAGAATATATTTTTGTATTCATCTTTATAACATGGAAGGTAAATATTTTTTATCTAATAATAGCAGAAAACAAGATTCAATTCCTTTCCTTTAAGAAAAAAGCAGCATAGTCTACTCAAAGTTTATTCTTTCAATTCAGAGCCCACTTCTTTTGTGAACAATTTGGTGCATTTGCCTGATATTGGTATGTGGGATTCTGACACCATAAATGGAATAGAATCAAGAGGACTTGAGTAACATGAAGAAAACTTCAATGTTTATTGGAAAGTGTATACCTGCAACTTTAGTTCTTCACATGTAAATGTTTGCTATGAAAAATCAATGTCAAAGAAGTGTTAAGCAATACTAAAGATATTTCTGTAGTACTGGATATATAATGCACACTCTTGTAAAATTTCTCTAACAGTGAATCAAGGAACCTTTCTGGTAAGGGTTGGTATTTCTGAAAAAGTATGTATTCTTTGGTATGTAGATTAATAAACCCTGATGATATAGAGTTAAAAATTTGGCTTATTAAATATAATATTCAAATCCTTTACTAATTGTTTTAGGGTACAGGGCTATTGAGAAAAGAGGTCTCTGTCTTCAAGAAATGACTAGAGTTTATGTGGCCACTCTAAGTAGAGGAGAGACATTGCAAAGTTAAGGGTCAGAAAATATGAAAGTGGAATGAGATGAGAAGGAAGAGGTTACTCTTAATTTACATTATTTGTTATATTCTTTGTTCAGACAGCACTTTGTAAGAGGTTCAGTTCAGTTGAATAATTTTGTAAACTTTTTTGTTGTTTTCCAGAGTGGCTATACACCACTTTTACTTGCCATAGAGCAAAACAGACAGCAGGTGGTTGAAACATTAATTCAGAACAAAGCAAATATACATGCAGTTGACCAGAAGGGAAGGTATAGTACTTTATATACATATTATATAATTTATATACTAACAATAACTCAAGGAAAAATGACTTGTTTAATGGGAAGGTCAATATTAACATATTTAGAATAGAGTGATAGAAACAACAAACCACAATTAAGGTAAAAAAAAATCAATTATTTGAATTGAGAAATACAACTAAGTATATTAATATGATTCAAAATTATTGGCAGATATTTGTTATTAGTTTGTTGGTCACATGATTTTGTATTAACTAAAGAGTTTTACTATTACTATTAGTTTTGTAAAATATGGAGTTTTAGTTTACATTTTGGTTTCTATTATATTTTTAACTTTTGTGTCTGATTTATTTTTCTTTTGGAAAAGATGTATTGATCATAAATAGGCATTGGAAATTATTATTTTTTTATTTGGTTGACTGTTCTAAATTGCTTTCCATGTAGAATATTGATGTTAGTTTATTCCTAAGTGTTTATTAATTGCTACTGCCAAATGCTGTTCATTTTTAACATATTTTGGTGCTTTTGCTTTTAATTGGAAGGTACAGAGGGAAGAAAGTAGCTTTAAAGGAATATTTTATTTAATAAATATAAGACATAGGCTGGTTTTAAAGAGAAAAAAAGCCTTAGATTCTCACACAGTTGGATTTTATTCCTAGCTTTTGTAGTATATTACCTTAAAAACAATACTTATGACTAAATATATTTCCTGATATGAAAAATAGGATAATACATGCTTGAAGGATGATTGTGAAATTGTACACATTGCATTGCATTCAATGTCTAGCAAATACTTATCAGTACCATTAATTGAAATAATGACTATTATTTTTTTATTATTATTAGCGTGCAAATAGCCTTTTCTGCTTGACCTTTAGCTGACTGTGAGTTACAGTAATTGTGTCACACTAGGAAGGAAATAGAGCTTTCTTCATTGAAAGTTTTACCAATTTCACATAAAAGACCTCATCATAGTTACTGTCCATTGAAGGATTTTAAGTTTGTTAACATCTCCCTCATTGGGAAAAGAGATTTTCTTTTTTTTTCCTTTTAGACTTTGAGATGATTTGCAAAAGTGAATATTTGTTCTCTTAGATGTTTATGTCTATTAGTATCTGTAAAGTATGATGTCGAATTGGGAAAATATTATAAATTAGCTCTTTGAATAATTTTATTAAAATACTTAAAGTTGAAGTTATCTCTCTTATTATAGAACAGCCCTCATGTTTGCTTTGGAACAAAAATCAAAACACATAGTTGAGATGCTTCTTCAGAATGGTATTGATGTCTGTGCTGCAGATAACTTTGGGCAGATGGCATTAGCTTATGCTATTGCTAGTGGTGATAGTAGGTAAGTATTTACATTAAAATACTAATCAATATTGATTGGAGGCTGAAAATAATTAAAACTATTGCATTTTACACATGAGGTGAAATTTTATACTACAGCTATATGTGGAATGATAATGAGTTATTAGAGTTCATCAGCCAGGAACCCTGCAAAAATCTAGACAAAAATAGTGATGAATGTAAGAGTCTTCTGAGAGGTTCCTTTCTTCCCCTTTCTTTTCTTTCTTTTTTATTTTTTTTTTTACTTTTTCCCTTATACATGCTAGTAAGTTGCTCTACCACTGAGATACATCACTCGTCAGCATCTTAGGATTCTTTAAAAAAACTTTGTCATTATGATTTCCAGTCTTATCTCTTTCATTCCAAGTATAACTCCTCACTGTGGAGTAGAAATAGTGTCACACTTTGATTTTTATAATTAGCTATTTGGGTCTTAAAATGCCCAGTTGAGGAGAAAATATTTTTACTCTCCTATGAAAGTTAGCTTTTCTACCACCCTTCTTTAATTTCCCAAGGACCTGAGAATTTCCTTAAAGTCTAAAGAGCAGGTAGAAGGACTTTTAAAATATTAATTTTTCTCTGTCAATTCTATTGCTGTGGTGTTGCTGTTAGAACTGGCTCTTCAGTTTGGTGATAATTAACTTTTACTACAAAATGTCCTGATTGATCCCAATCCCTGAGTATTCATGGTAATGCACACTTAGATTTAAAAGTTACAACGCTATTTTTAGTTCATATATACATATGCTTGTTTATTCAGCTATTATTCCCAAACAGCAGAATTCTGTTTTGGCAACTTGGCCTCCTAGCTTTATCCATACACATAATAAGAACTCTGGCCCTGTCCCACAACTCAAACCTTTATGTGGAACAACCCACATGTTAGCCTAGTCCTTCCTGGTGCATTATCCTTTGAGGACTTTGTCTTTTCTTGCATAATCTAATCATTCAGAACTATCAGATAGCTTCAAATAATATCACTGAAGAGATGAGAATTTCCAATCATCTTTGCTAAAATATCTGTTCCTTGAAACCTCTCATCCCTTGAAGTATATTTTCTTTTACTGCAGGAGGCCCAATATTAATGTTTCCCACGTTGGATGTGTCTAGTGATTTGCTTTCCAAAGTAAGAAAATTTCCCAAACTATTGCAATCAGTCTAAAGTTTTCAGAATATATCAAGTTCTCCCTTACAAGGAAGAGATAAGTTCTCTGAGCTTAAAGTAGATTCATTGAATCTTAGAGCGCTAAGCCTCATTATGACTTATTAGTATCCATGTGTAAAGAGGATTTGGTCTTCCAAGTCAGTTAGAGCTTGACATGGAGATTTAGCTTCCTCTAAAAATTATCCATTGATTCTTTTCAACTAGGTGGAGAAGAAATAGTAGCAGTCCAAGACAATTCTTGGCATTGGTTAATTTCCCATTTTTTTGGTGTTATTGATTAGTTTCACAATAGGGGATGAATATATTCTCTAAAGAGATATGATACTTATAAATAAATTGTTATAAATTATTTAATGTCTAATTTGCCCTGAGACATAAAGCAGAAAAAAGACTACAATCAATAACCAAAATTAGAACTCAAAAGCATTTTTCAGTAATTTCAACACTTGAATATTAGAACCTGTGAAGAATACACATTGGTTTATTTGGGATTCCAATTATAGTTGAATAAAAAGATCAAATTATGCCATTATTTTTCTATTTCTTTTGACATGTTTTAATATTACCTCATTGAGTCTTCCTAACAACTTTGTAAACTAAAGTGGTACAACCCTTATTTTTTAGAAGAAGCCCTTAATTTTAAAAGAAATTAATTGTGCAAGAAGAAAGAGCTATTATTTACATGACATTTTCTGAGTTCTAGCTATATCAGTTAATATACTCACCTATATTGTTCTCAATTCATGATCATTTTATCTTACTTTGTTTTCTTAATATAAGCTTATGGGTGCAATGGCATGTGTAGTTACCACAGCTACTTGGGGGAGAGAATGAGGCAGGAGAATTGCTAGAACCAAGGAATTCCAGACTAGCCTGTGCATCATTGTGAAATCCCATCTCAAAAACAAAAGAAAACCAAACAATTTACAAATAATTGTCAATTTAATAAAATGTCTGGGCTTACAAATTTGAAGTGCATATTATAAAGCTCTGATATAAGATCTAATATTGTTTAAAATACTATTATATATTGAATGTTTGGTTATTGTTTTTATATCAATATTAAAATGCTAATTTGATTAATTTTTTTTATCTATAGCCTCAAGGAATTAATTATTCAATATATGAAAGAAGAATCTAAACATCCTGAAAGTATCAACCCAGGTAAGACTTCTGAAAGTGAATTGATCATGGTATTAATGGCTTATATAAGAAAAGTATGCCAGGTGCAGTGTTGGCAAGCCTGTAATTGGGTGGCTCAGGAGGCTGAGGCAAGAGGACTGCAAGTACAAAGTCAACCTCAGCAATTTAGCAAGGCCCTAAGCAACTTAGCAAGACACTTTCTCAAAAATTACAAAAGGACTGGGATATCTGTCAGTGGTTAAGCTCTCCTGGGCTCAATTCCAGGTACCAAAGTAAGTAAATAAATAGGAGTAAGAAAGTTTGAATTGCAAAGGAACCGTGGAAAAATTAATGTGTTACATTCATATTTGTTCTTAATTTTTTTCTTAATAATCTAGAATTCATGATTATTTAAGCCATTAATTGTAGGAAATTTATAATCAGAAATGATATTGTCTGAAGAAATTTTAGGCTAACTTAATCTTGGCCCCTGAAATCTTATATTTATGTGCAGAAATAAGTAAAAAAATTCAAATTAGTATGTTGTCTTTCCTATATAATGACATTGTAGCAAAGTGGACTTGTAATAAAAAGAGATGTTCTATTTTTACTGTAGATATCAACTCTTACTGTATATACAAATCCGTGGATTTTACAGTGATATTTTCATACATATGTAAATAGTACTTGAATCCCAACCACTTTCCCTACTTCCATTTCTATCTGTCCCTTCATTTCTTCATCCCTTTTTACCTTTCGTCTTCCCTAATAACCCCTTTTACATTTCCTAGTCATTCTTAATTTGTTTTCAAATTGCATATGTTATAGAGAATGTGATATTTGATTTATGTTTCTGACATATTCTACTTAACATAATAGCCACCCTTTCCATCCATCTTAAATTTTTGTCTTTTTTTTTTCTTTTCTCTTAAGGGCTTGAAACATACCATTTCATGTTCCCTGGCCTTCAAAGTTTCTGTTGATAACTCTTATGTTCTTCTTATGAATTTATTCTATAAGTGGTTTGGTCTTTTTTACAGCTTTCAATGTACTTTGGGCAATTTTTATAAATGAACGTGGAGAAGTTCTATTCTGGTCATGTCCATTTGGTGTTCTAAATGCTTCCTGTATCCGGACATCCATAGCATTCAAAAAATTTAAGAAATTTTCTGCTATTTTTTTCTCCAAATAAATTGCATGGCCTATAAGCCTGTACTAATACATCATTGTCTATGTTCGTAATTCATGAGTTTAGTATATAAATCAGGTACCAAGGACTTTGTATATTCTGTTTCTTCTTCTTTTCATTGTCATAACTAACTAAAGGTGACATTCATCATTGCTTTCAAACTCTGATATTTTTTCTTCTGCTTAATCTAGTCTATGATTGAAAATTAGACTTATTTTTTAAAAATTTGAAATATTAAGCTATTTATTTACAAGATTGCTGTTTGATTTATTTTAAGAAGCTCTATTTTTGCACTGTTCTCTAATGCCTTGTAAGGTTTTTATTACTTTATTCATCTTCTATTTGTATCATCTTTGAATTCATACATTATTTTTAATATCTTTTTTAATCCTTTTTCTGGCATTTTGTCTACTGCAGTGTCATTGGAATCAGTTGCTAGAGAGTTATGAACTTTTAGAGGATGCATGTTACCTTATTTGTTCATCTTTCTTATATTTGTGCTAAATTTTGTGCATCTGTGGGGATGTATGTTTCTTCCACATTTATGTGAGAGTCTTCTTAGGAAATAACCTTCTCTTGATGATGTATCCTGGGCTACTGGTTTATTTTGTCGAGATTATTTCCAAATTATCGACTGTGTATTATAGACTTTTATGTTTTACCTGTGATTCATGGGTTTTGTCACAGTTTGTACTATCATAGCCTGAAGGACCAACTCTCTTTGTCAATCTTGTGAGAATGGAGTCACATGATGTAGGCAGTGGATTATGTGGGCTGCATTTTTTGTGGTCATTACTGTAGCCTTGTCAATAATTTTCCATCTGCAAAGGCATGGGAGACACCTAGTGCCACAGTCCAGCTGGGAAAAGTAACCTAGAGGTGACAAGCAACTGAAGGTTGGGGCAGGAACTGAAGGTAACTGAAGTTAACTGCTTTATAGAGGAACAGCAGAGGTATATATATCTAACTGATTTACATAAAGCATGACTCAATCAGCATCATCCAATCATAGCATTGCTCCCCTACAGATACAGCAATCAGCCAATAAAGAGTCCCCACCATCTTGATGGCTTGGTGACATTGCCTCACAAGCCACTCCTCCTGGCAAACTGCCAGGTGCCATCTTGACTTGGTCATGGCCTCCAACAAACTAGGCTGAGGTGCTGCTTGGTGCAGACTTCATACCTGCACAACTCTGCAAACAGAGTTCTTTCACTTCTCTCTGCTCATGCAATGAGGGTGGCTGCCAGACACTGGATTATAGTACATTCGATCCATACCTACATGGGTACATGTCAGCTGGGGGCTTTTATTTACCCTGTTATTTGACTTGAAGTACCTGTCAAGTTATAAGTGGGAATGTATGTCTTTGGTGGAAAGTAAGATGCATTTTTTCTTACCTTTGCTGTGGGTTTTAGAAGTTGCAAAGTACCTGCCAATGTGTTCAAGGTATGGGGCTGGATCCCCAATGCAGATGGAAGAAGACAAACAACAATAATACAGCATGAAGGCAAACTAGATATAGGTATACAGAAACAATCATCAAGAAAAAAAAGGA